CGTTTGCAATTCGATGTCGAAATGTGTTTTAACGAGTACACAATCCGACCACTGTAACTGCGACACAAGGGCCTCCCTTAAAGTTGGAAACCCAACCAGAAGCCCACAGGTTGCACAATGGGATGGCAACCTCTCCAGCGTGGAATCGGTAAACCCTGCCATGTGTCGAAATTTCTCTGACACACATTGCTCGCACCCAATCCTGAATAAACATCACACTAACTGTCAGGTAACCTAAAATCTCGCCTAAAGGCTTCCATTCAATCAGCACCCGAAGATCACCCGAAATTTTTGCCTACCATTTCGCCTCGATCTGCAGAGCAAATAGAATCAAACGAAACACTCTCGTCAACCAATCAACATCTCCTACAAGACCAATGAATGTCGCACGCTAAACATTGAAACCCACGTCAAAGCAACTACAACGCAGGTTGAGGTTCGGGAACCAATCTTCAACTCAACCTACGTTCAGTAGCTCTTTCAGGAGCCAAGACGTAGGTGTTTTTGAACCTACGAAAATGTTGCGTAGAGGTATCTTCAACGCAGGTGTTGAAACTGCACATTTTTGGGATGACCGAATCGGAGAGAACTCGCATGCCTTTGCTTGTGACACAGTGTGCAGCACGCATTGGTGAACCTGCTGCAGCAATGCTACCGCTTCTATCGAAATCGTACAACATGATCCACGGGTTTCTTTCTTTCTTTCTTTTTGCCTTTCCTTTTTCCATTTCACATCGCATGATACGTACTGTAGGTCCCCATCTTTCGATAGTGATTCGTATGGCGAGGTGCCGGCAGCCATCACAGCCCTCTCTGCGCTTCAGAAACTGTCAGTGGTTACCATTGTTGGGAGGAGCCAGGATGGATGGCCGTAAGGGTACTTGAAGGTCCACAGATTGGGTTGTTGAGGGTGCGCTGAAACACCACTGGAAAATCCCACATGTGTGCTGGCGACCTAGAAAAATCCTTCACACAGAGTATAATGCTTCTCACACAGTTGGGAGTTCCCTGTGTATCTCCTGCTCTCATTCCACATGCCGCTCCATAGGTACTACTAGTTTTTTTATTAACATTCGCAAACCCTTGAAGCTTGAAAGGTACAGGACCTCGAAGCTCACACTCTTGGGATTCGCTTCTTGTATGGTCACCCTGCCTCTTGCATTGCATTGCGTTGCATGCCACTCTGCAGGGATCTGTCAGTAATTGACTTCCACTCTGTAGGCTTCGGTGGAAGCCTGGAGATTCTCGGCCATTTCCCCAAGTTGCAATATGTGTACGCAACTACTCCCGTTCCGCCATTGCACTTTCTCGCCTATATACCCACCTTCATCGCTTGAGTCGAGTCCATGGTTGGTTTATTATCAGTTTCCCGTGCTTGTCGCTCTCTCCCACATGTGAGGTGTGCGTACCCCCCCGCCCACTCGGTTGCCATGGCACACACCAGAGATCTGAGCAACACTTACTTCAGAGGATCCATCCCGGAAACCATCAGAAATGCCAAGAGCCTGCAGTACCTGTAGGGGGGGGCTCTAGTGTCAAGGCAAGGCAACAGGGCATGATGAATCATGATCCTGGCGTGCACCTGCTGCCCTTGTCACCTGAGGCAGAATGAGAACTCGGGATTCCATCACGTGTCTAGCGTGGCCGACGGGGGCAGTTCATCTCGCGGCTATGGAGAGTGCTTTCATTCTTGCCTTTCTTTCTTTCTCTCTTTCTTTTTGTTAGGCAGCATACACCCTACTGTTGGAACCAATTTCCGAAATTCAATCTCATCTATAAGCGTGCCAATGCACATTTTCCCCTGCTGGCACGTTCTTCTGTGCACCAACGCGTATGCATCCCATCCCAGTAACCTCGAGGGTCTGAATCTCAGTGGAAGTCTCCCTGGCAGCATCAGTCGCCTCACTGCACTCCAATCTCTGTATTTGTTCCCTCACCTTCCCCAACTTCCTTCCTTGCCTTCCTAAATCTCCCCCCTGTCCTCCTCCACCCCCAAGCTGGCAAGCACATCGTTTAAACCTCGTGGTGAAACTTTGCTTTGTGCTCTCTCCACTTCACAGGCGCTGCTCGGCTTTCTTTCTTACCGCACCAGTCAGTTGCTAGCATGTCCCTAACTCCCTTTCCTCCCTCTGCACTGCCCCCAACATGCAGGCGCATTGGGAACCCCCTGAAGTTCTTTATTTATTTTGCATACCTTAACGAATCTCCAACAGGGTGAGACTGACGGGTATGTTTGGGCCTGCTGCTACATGCCAAGGAGTAGGGACCATGCTTCATGCCAAGGAGTATGTACTATGGTGTAAGAACTTGAGTTTGAACTGATACATTAGGTAATGAGCTCAAGGCTCTTAAAGCTCGCGTCTCAGATTTCCAACCGTTTAACACTTGGTTGGGTTTGCCTGACTGTGATTGGGTAACGAAAACGAAATAATTGACGAGTGGGTGAAAAAAGCAATGCGAACTACCAAAACAGTCGAGGCCAAAACAAACCAGGGTGGGTTGGTTTGGGTGGAAAACGAGCCAAGGGGGACAGGTTCGGTCCCCCCTTCTGTCAACGTTGAGTTCAGAGTCTCATATTTTCGGAAGTTGTAAACGCTTGGTGTGCACGGGAAGTGTGCGACAGCCAACTTTCCCAAACCACCCCTTCTTTGGTGTGCTTTGCGACAAACTTTGCTGTTACCAAATTCTAACCGTTTAACACTTGGTTGGATGGCAGAAATACGAGACGCGAGCTTTAAGTACATAAGACATGGGAAATCCCAATAATATAGCCTGAATTCTCTAATTGGTGGGTTGGAGATTTTGGTTGATCACATTTGGGTGAGATTGGGATGTGGGTGTACACTCAACCAACACAAACTACAAACTACACTAATCTATGATACTAAAAAGTACAAATGTAGCCCACTGAAAGCTAATCACTCCCCGTCTCCCGTCACCTTGTGACCTGTACTCTTGCAACATTGAGCAGTACCTGCCTTTCCCTGTGATGCAAGGCTCTGTGGACGACCTCTCCTGTCTCACTCCACTCACTCGCCTCCAGGACCTGTATGCCTCGATTCTTCCAAACCCTCATTTTCCCGTAATATAACGCATCCCTACCCGTCCTCCCTGTCCCTTTAATCTAAATCATCCCTGCCTAATCTCACTTGTCCCTAACCGCCTTTCCTCCCCTCACATTTTTTCCTAGCCACCTTCACCGCCCCTCTCACCCCCCACCTACCCGTCTTCCCTCCCCTCTCACTAATGCTTATCTGCCCTTGCTCTGCCAATACCTGTTCCTATTTAAAGTGAGTTCATGGATTCAAGCCCCCCTGCAAATCGCACCACCCATCCAAGGGCCTCGCCGCCTGCTGCTGCCCCTCTCCCACCCACACTGAACACGGCACTTGACCGTGCTTCATTCACGCCTCCTCACTCGCTCCCATTCTCTCTGCTCCCCAACTTTCGTCTGTCCACTTTACCAGTGTATTTCATCCTCCCTCTTGCACCCTTGCCTCTCTTCCATCCTCACTCCTCTCCAGTGCTCTCATGAATCTCAACCTGACTGCTGGAGATTTTCCTTCTTCTGTTGCTGCACTTCCTTCACTCATGCACCTGTAAGTTTGTCGGATGTCTTCCTTCCTCCTCCTTGAGCGAGTGCTTGGTATAGTTTTATGTCATATTTTATGCATTGTGCTGGCAATCACCAAAGTACAACCATGATACTGGTGTGGTATCATCTCTCACGTGCTTCTGGTTAGCCTTGGGCATGTGCTTGCTCGTTGCACGCATTGCATCTCTTCAAGGTAGGCTTATGAAAAAAGCCAACGAATTTCTTTCCCGCTTACGAAAGTTGAAATAGGAGCGAGCGAGCACATTTCTGTTTCAAGGTTTAGAGCTCACCATCTCTTCTCTCCCTCCTTTCCTGTACCACAGTGACCTAAGTTTCCTTCCCATCACCCGCTTACCGCAATGGATCGCTTCACTCTCTAAGCTCACTCATTTGTGAGTGGCACCATGAGCCCCTCGCCCCACCTCGCCCTGACTATTATCATTGCTTCCTGTTGCACCTTGCCTGTGCTTCACTTGGGATACAAGTGGTCAGCTCACGTCCGCTCAGTGGGTACCACTCCTCTCACTCCCTGCACCACCTGCAATTTGCCATAGTCTTGCCCCTTGCGCTCTCTCCCTCCGCTTCCATAGCTTGCTGCCAGAGCGATGCCAATGAAACCGGCTCAAGCTCGCACCCCGATTGATCTGTGTCGCTTTGAATCAAGGGTGTTCGTCGGCTTTCCCTGTGCTGTCCTGTGCCATGCTGCTCTGCGTGGTAATGCCCTACACTGGGCCACATGTCGCTCAAGGCAGAGTCGATCAGGGCAATGAACCATGGCTAGAGGGATGGCACGATGGCTAGAAAGAGAGATTCCGATGTACGCTGATGCCACTTGCAGTGCTCCCCCCCCCCATGCCTCTCCACCGATTGGAGTGCCCCGTGCCTCCCCTACCCGCCTGCCCTTGTCTGCCCTGCAGGGATGTCACCGAAAACTTAACCATTCGCCGCTCTGCACTGTTCCCCACCGAGTGGATGGCGCTCACAAGGCTGGAGACGCTGTGAGCCATCGGTCATGTCAAGAGCACACCATCTTGGTTTGACACCTTGTGCTGCTCACCTAGCCATCCAAAGCCATCCGTTCCTTATATTTCCCACCAAAACCCACTGGGCCCATCTCTCCTCTGCCCGTCCATCTGCACATTGCTCGATGGCCCACTCAGCCCAATCCTGTTGCCTTCTAGCAACCAATGCATGCGCCCCTCCTCTCCACTCGCTCCTCCTCTCCTCTTGCCCCTCCCCTTGCACCTGCAGGTGGGCCGGTTTGAATTGCTTCACTGGCTCTATGCCCACCACCATCTCCACCCTCACCGCCCTCACCATCTTGTACGCCTCCCCTTCCCATCATCTCTCCAATTTTTGTCCTCTCTCCCCTTCCCATCCTCTCAATCCTAGCCACCTTGGCTCTATGTCCTATTTTACCAGTGCTCTTGCAAATGTGACTTTCACGAGTAGGCTTACCATCTATAAAGGGTGGGTTATCTGTTGTGACATAATGCAAGTCTTTCTCAAGTCGTCATGTAGAAAAGCTGCGGTGATGAGAAGGCCTCGCAACATCAAAAGCTGTCATGCATAAAATTCCTCTCCCTTGTTGTAGGAAATAATTCCATTGTATAAACTTGCTGCATTTCACTCCCACTTGCTATCCACATAACACGTGCGTGTCTTGGCCTCCACACACACGTCCCCGCCTCCACACACACGTGCCTGCCTCCACGCAACACAACACAGGTTGCTCGGCTCTAACAATATCACCGGCGCCGCTCCTGTCACTCACGCCTACTTGTGAGACTTCAAGGCTCGCCTCGCCTGGCATGAGCTCACGCGTGGCGTGGATTGCAATGCACCTCCATCTGGCACCTTGCATGCTGAGTCGCAATTCAACCAAACAGAATGAGGTGTTGGAGGCCCTTGAGCAGTCTCTCTTGCGCAGTCTCTCTCACCATGCTTTCTCATCTCCGTGTGGCAACTTCATGCAAGCGCCCCTTGAAATTCGCCTATTGTTACTTTAGCAATGTACAAACGTTGCATATCCAGTATGTTGCGTTGCGTTCCCAGTAGCCTAAGGTTGGCATTACCATACTATTGTGCTTCCATGATTTCTCAAGCTTCTGATACCTCAGAGGCTCCACTTGGTCATGGTATTGCCGTATGCTTCACAGCCCTGACTCGTGTTTCCTAGCCTGACTCGTGTTTCTCAGCCATGACTCGTGTTTCTCCAGTACCAAGAGCTGGACCACACCGCACACTCCTTGGGGTGTGGCAAGGAAGCATTCACGCCCCTACCTCACTGTGCATGCCTCCACATATCCCCCACATCCCCTTCCCTCCACATCCCCTCCCCTCCACATCCCCTCTCAACCACATCCCCTCACCTTCACATCCCCTCACCTTCACATTCCCTCCCCTCCACATCCCCTCGCCGCCACATCCCCTCTCCACCACATCCCCCCACCTCCACATCCCCTCCCCACCACTCCCCTCGCCTCCACATCCCCTCGCCTCCACATCCCCTCTCCACCACATCCCCCCACCTCCACATCCCCTCCCCACCACTCCCCTCGCCTCCACATCCCCTCACCTCTAACTGCCCTCATTGCGTGCAGAGACCTCTTCCGGAATCAACTCACCACCATGCCTTCTGCCATCAATGCTGACGTGTAAGTCCTGGGTGATTGGCATCATAATGTCATTGTTTTTTATTCGTATTCTTGGCGGCTCGTGCTAGAGAGGGAAAGGTTTAGCCTGAGCCACCTCCTCCCTTGGTCGTGCCTCCCAGCCTTGTGTGATGACTACACAAGGGCCCTTGGTGCCCTGTTTGTCTCATTGTTCTCGTTTTTGCTGCTTGCCTTGTGCCCGGGCTTCTAGTGGCAAGTCATTTCAGCCGCAGGCAGACCATCGACGCGATTGTGCCAGTGATCCGCCTCTCTTACAGCAGGCCGCCTGTGATCCATATTACATCTTTTTTACCATACTTGGATGCTGGCTTTCGCCATCAGCCACTGCTGCAAGGTGAACACTTGGATAATTTGTGGCAGTTGTGATTGGATCGACCAACCGCAACTGCCTATGTTTGGAGGAACCAAACCCCGTCTGAAGGTTTCCTCAACAACACGTGTATACAACGAATAAAGTGTTGAAGCGCAATCAATCGGAAGGCCACACGTTATCCCGGCCGTATCATGCTGTGCCGTACCTTGCCATGCTGTGCTGTGCCATGCCACATTACCTGTTCTAGCATGGAAGAGGTCCCAGCATGGAAGCGAGATGGCAAGCATGCACCTGGCCATGGGATGGTGCAGGTAACAACAAAATGTAGGTGGAAGTTCATGGTGGCATGCAGTACACGTGTGCCTTCCTACATGCCATGGCCCATGGGTCACTAAATGCTCACTCTTCACTGCAGCGCTTCCCTTTTGGGACATTCAATGAATGTATGTTACCATAATCTCACTCCCTTCCACCATCACCCATTCAACCTCTCCAGTTCCATGGCTCACAACCAGCTTCAAGGTCCCCTTCCTTCTGCCCTCGTTTCCTCCGGTCTCAGGACTCTGTAAGCACGCCTTGAAGTTGCTTGGTCCTGGTATGGAAGGAAGGAGGGAGGCAAGTGCGTGTGCTCGAGTTGTCTCTTGATTGATTTCCCTCAGAACGACAGCAATAATGAATATGTATTTGCAATTGTAAACATTCCCTTTCATGCACACTGCTGGTCAGTCCCCCATCCCCATCCCATGCAACCCATGCCACCACAAAGTGAGCTGCAAGGCAACGCATTCTCTGGCTCGCTACCCAACTTTGATTCCCTACCCTATCTTATCATATTGTGAGCTTGCTGCCTAGTTCTTATCCCTCTCAAACGATGTCCATCTATGGCAGCCCTTCATTTGTCCTTTGGATTTCCTTCTTGTTTACTCCCCCATTTTCACAAAGACAGATCTGATCTAGCAACCACGAGCCACATCTGAACTAGCAGACACATACCTAGCAACGCATAGCTCTGAGTGTCTCCAAGTCACTAGAATCTTTAGCAGACTTACACTGTCCCTTGGATCTTCATTCCCCTCGCCTGCGCCCATCAATCATGTCCCCTCTTTACCCTTCCCACAACCGCCCACCACCACCATGCCCCACTCAATCTCCAGCGACGTCAGTGACAACCAGCTCAGTGGCTCGCTCGTATTCTTGTCCCGACTGTGAGCCTTGCTCCAACTCTCTTTGAGAATAAGGAAGCAGTGTTGTTGTGAGTTAGGGTAGTTTGAGGAGGCATAAACGCTACCTTGAGAAACAGGTTGTGCACACATTGTCTGGACCCAGCAACTCTGACAGCGTTAGCCGAGGTAGCACCTTTTTGCTGCATTCCACTAGGTGAAATCATACCAAGGATCACCGCGGACATCGTTGCAAACAGCTGATGTACTCTGCTCGCTGGCATGCACATGTGGGATGGCATGGCATGGCATGGCACCGCAAGGGGCTTGGAGGCAAGAATCTGAGTGGCGTCATACCTGCTAGCCTGGGCGGACTTGGAGATCTAACATACCTATGAGTAGCACAACCATTCCCTATTTGCTTGTCGCACACTAGTTTTTCCTAGATTGTCCAATCAGCTCACCTTCCTGCCTTCTATCATCACCTGGCACTCTGTGTAAGTCTTAGGTGATTGACATAGCATTGATCTCTCTTTTGTGTCAATTTTTTCGGCGCCTTGTGCCAGAGACGGGGAATAATAGCCGGAGCTACATCCTCCCTCAGCCTTATCATTCTGTGCCATGTCTTGCTATGCTGTGCCTTGTCTTGTCATGCTGTGCCGTGCCATGCTGTGCCATGCCACATCACCCCTCATAGCATGGAAGAGAGCCGAGTATGCAAGCGGGATGGCTTGCACCTAGTTATGGGATGGTGCAGGCAGCACGGAGACGGAGGTGGAAGCTCATGCGGCATGCAGTGGACATGTCTCATGTGCCTTTCATCATGCCATGGCCATTCGGTCACTAAATGCTCACTCCTCACTACAGCAATTCCCTTTTGGGACATTCAATGAATGCATGTTACCATCATCTCACTCCCTTCCACCATCACCCATTCAACCTCTCCAGTTCCAAGGCTCACAACCAGCTTCAAGGTCCCCTTCCTTCTGCCTTCGTTTCCACCGGTCTCAGGACTCCGTAAGTGCGCCTTGAAGTTGCTTGTTCCTAGTATGGAAGGAAGGAGGGAGGCAAGTGCGTGTGCTCGAGTTGTCTCTTACTTGATTTCCCTCAGAACGACAGCAATAATGATTATGTATGTGCAATCGTAAACATTCCCTTTCATACACACTACTGGTCATTCCCCCATCCCCATCCCATACAACCCATGCCTCCACACAGTGAGCTGCAAGGCAACGCATTCTCTGGCTCGCTACCCAACTTTGATTCGCTACCCTATCTTATCATATTGTGAGCTCACTGCCTTGTTCTTATCCCTCTCAAACGATGTCCATCTATGTCAGCCCTTCATTTGCCCTTTGGATTTCCTTCTTGTTTACTCCCCCATTTTCACAAAGACTGATCTGATCTAGCGGCCACGAACCACATCTGAACTAGTAGCCACATACCTAGCATCGCATAGCTCTGAGTGTCTCGAAGTCACTAGAATCTTTAGCAGAGTTACACTTTCCCTTGGATCCTCATTCCCCTCGCCTGCGCCCATCCACCATGTCCCCTCTTTACCCTTCCCACAACCGCCCACCACCACCATGCCCCACTCAATCCCCAGCAACGTTAGCAACAACCAGCTCAGTGGCTCACTCCCTTACTCCATCTCCAGCCTTGTATTGTTGTCCCGAGTGTGAGCCTTGCTCCATCTTACTTTGAGAATAAAGAAGCAGTGTTGTTGTGAGTTAGGTTAGTTTGAGGAGGCATAAACGCTACCTTGAGAAACAGGTTGTGCACACCTTGTCTGGACCCAGCAACTCTGACAGAATTAGCCGAGATAGCACTTCTTGCTGCATTCCACCATGTGAAATCGCACCAAGGATCACCGCGGACATCATTGCAAACAGCTGATGTACTCTGCTCGCTGGCATGCACATGTGGCATGGCATGGCATGGCACGGCAGGGGGCTTGGAGGCAACAATCTGAGTGGCGTCATACCTGCTAGCCTGGGCGGACTTGGGGATCTAACATACCTGTGAGTAGCACAACCATTCCCCATCCACCACAAGCCTAAAGTTGACTACTCTCCCCGCGGTGCTCTTACAGCTTCCATCCTTCTTGCCAGGGTCTTACTTTAACTTGCATCGAAAATCCTCCTATTTTCCCCCCCTGGATTTGAACTCAATGGCAGCATCTTGGTGTTGAGTTGGGTGGCCTCTTTTCTCCTTTCACTCCTCTATGCCACATGCTTCACAAGCCCATCCTGTCTCTCACGTTAGAGTTCTAGATTCATTTTCGTACGTAAGACAGTAACCGATTAACTCCATATTACATGGTATTTGGTATTGGACCGAATGCACGTATTTACTTGTCGCACACTAGTTTTGAGTTAAATATCTGGCCATGAGTGTGAATTGTTTCCTCGAATCTCCAATCAGCTTTTCTCCAACACTCACCCCCAGGAACGTGTCGGGCACGGGGCTGACCTGCTGTGCAGACGGCAGCGAGTGCCTAGTGAATCAAAGCAACACCACCGGCTTCTGCCACCTCTGCTTCTCCTTCTGCTCCTCCTGCATCCCCCTTTCTTGTAAGACTCCATGCTGAAATGGCTGCCCACACATAGACGCACGCATAAGAACGATGCCACACCGGCTCCAATCAAACTTTCCCACAACGGCTGGGTGGTGGAATAGGTGTGCTTTACGTAATCTGATTCAACATTCTAATCTATGTCTGTACCCACATCCCAGTGTCGCAGGCACGATCGGCATATGGCCCTCGCACGCTCATTGCTGCTGCCATTAACCACTCTACTGCTGCTGCTCTTGCCGTCGTCTTGCTCCTGGTGTTCGGTATGTGAAGCGTAGAGTTTCTTATAGTGGTTTCGTATCGATTGTTGTGGGTGGGTGGACCTGGGGTAATGAGAGCCCAAATCTGGAATAGCATACTCGAGGTTATCTTCAAATATACCGTATGTGTTGAGAGATTGCGATAATCCATTCTAAATATTCTAGTGAAAGTCTGGATTTTGTGGCTACCTTTAAAACCCGAGTACAGCATGGTAATTTTCAAGATTCTTGAAATTGAAATGGCCAAATACGGAGTTACCCTACTTGCTTTGAAGAAACAGAGTTCCAGGCAATCGTCCTGCTTCCCCCCATCCCCTTCCCTGCTTCAACCCATCCCCTCTCCTGCTTCCCCCCATCCCCTTCCCTTCTTCCCCCCATCTCCTTCCCTGCTTCCCCCCATCCCGTGCCCTGCTTTCCCCCATCCCCTCCCCTGCTTCCCCCCATCCCCGTCCCTGCTTCCCCCCATCCCCTTCCCTGCTTCCCCCCATCCCCTTCCCTGCTTCCACCCGTCCCCTTCCCTGCTACCCCCCAACCCCTTCCCTGCTTCCACCCGTCCCCTTCCCTGCTTCCCCCCATCCCCTTCCCTGCTTCCACCGATCCCCTTCCCTACTTTCCCCCATCCCCTTCCCTGCTTTCACCTGTCCCCTTCCCTGCTTCCCCCCATCCCCTCCCCTGCTTCCCTAGATCCCTTTCCCTGCTTCCCCCCATCCCCTTCCCTGCTTCCCCCCATCCCCTTCCCTGCTTCCACCCGTCCCCTTCCCTGCTTCCATCCATCCCCTTCCTGCGTCCATCCATCCCCTTCCCTGCTTCCTCCTATCCCTTCCCTGCTTCCATCCATCACCTTCCCTGCTTCCCCATGTCCCCTTCCCTGCTTTCCCCCATCCTTTCCCTACTCCTATTCACTGGAATGAGCTCCGCATTTAGTATGTGTTGTCCCAAAACCATTTTTCAACTTACCTACGGCTAGGCCTGCTGGAAGGATGGGCAGGAGGGCTTATTTATTGATGCATCTAGCTGCCCAACAGATGCCACATGCGTTGATGCGCATGAAACAACAGGAAGGAACGGATGAATGATTTCAGACACAATGCAAAGGCAGCAGCACCAATACTAGCTGTGTCAGAAATTCCAAGGAGGGAGGAATGACTTCTGAAGTGATAAGGCAGCAGCACCATGTGCTGCTGCTCATGAGGCACCAGATATGGATGGATACATACAACAGCAGGGCGTTGGCGGCAGAGCCGAGAATAGAGCATTGTTGTAAAACGAGGGATGGGGCGATGACAACTGACCTGCCAAGGCAGCGGTGCGTTGAGCTGTTGTGCCTGAGAAAGCCGGGATGAATACAAAACCAGCGACAAACTCAGGGCAACGGCTGAAGCGACATGTCATGCAGATTCCTGAAAACCAGAAAGGGATGTTAAAACACTGGATTGCAAAGGCAGCAGCACCATGTGCTACTGTGTATGCGGCATGAGCGAGGCATGGAAACCCGAAAACTACAGATATGAATGATAATTGTTATGCCAAGGCAGCAGCACCATCTGCTGCCGTGCATGCGGCATCAACGAGACATGCAAGCCCGAAAACCCCAGATAGGGATGGTTGACAAACAACCGAAGTGCTATGGCAGCAGAGCCAATTTTTGCCAGGCCTGATGCACCAGTGATTGGTGGACCACTAAACAAACATATGCAAAGGTAGCAGCAACTAGTGCAATGCAAAGGCAGCACGGGCCTACGGGCGGTTGTGCCAGTGGCACGAGCGAGGCATTAATCCTTGAACAGCATTAGTGCACAGGCAGTAGGAACTCGTGATGATGTGCAACCGAATGGGGAGGAATGAAAGAGTCCAACTGCAGTGTTATACTCACAGTAGGCTTCAATGTGCCTACAACGAAAGATAGAGTGCACTGTCGGATTTCTGCACAGCGGCTTTAAACGTTCATAGCGTTCTGATCACAGCTTCAAATGACCTGATTCAACCTGGAGCGTCTTAGTGTCGCCTACTTTAGGCAATTTAGATCGCACGATTTCACCAAGTATTCACGACACAGCGTCGGTTTGAATGAACGGCCCTATGGCAGCCACTATAGTCTTAAAACACAAATTAGGAAGAGTTACGAGTTGGGAATGACTCCCAGCTCCTACAAACCCCAAGAGCCGAGGTACAGTGATGTGGAACAAGCCACACTGTCCCCAACCACGAAGGGTCTCGAAACTACCCACCACAAGGGCCTACACCAACTGAAATGTTACACTACACAAAGTACTGTAACGATTCTCATTATCTTGAGGTGTAGCCTTTCCGCGGGCTTCGAGATCACTTGAATCTTGAAACCAAGGCTTGGGTTCTTCATCACAAACTCATCCTTGAGTTCTTGATGGGTCTTCTGCACATACCTGCGACACGCCGAACGTTCCACACACGACAAAATAGAAACCGTGCACGAGACACACGACAAAATAGAAACCGCGCACAGGACACAAACGATCGCGTGACACGCGACTAGCGATAACCCGCTATTGACTCGACACACACATTCGACATCATGACTCAACATTCACACACTATTATAAGCATGAAATATATATTATCCCATGCCCTCATACCATTCCATGCACACACGCATGTACGCACACGGACAATAAGCCGAGTGCAAACCGTAAGTTGCACCAACATGCAGTGCATCAGAGGATAGCACACAGTGGTGGTGCACCAGTGGTGGTGGTGCTGCCGTGCAAACCATGCCAGGATCTCTTCCTCTCATATATGTTGATCTAGTAACAGCAGGCCACCCTGAATGCTAATTTCTAGGGGGCCTTGCTCATTATTCTTGCCACAAATGTCGTGGGCACAAAGTGCACCATTTTGGTCAAGCGATCAACAAACACTAGTATCGCCATATGACCATCTCATACCTTGGGGAGATCGGTGATAAAATCATCGATACACTCTCCCAAGGCTCATCGGGAATCTCGAGTAGTTGAAGCAAACTACCAAACTTCTGCGTGCTTGGCTTGTTCCGCGCATACGTGTCACAGCTGCGGATATGACTAATTCAACGGGAGCTAGACTACGGGCTAGGCACGCGGCTTGAGTGACCTCTGCGTTCGTTCCTTAGTCGTTACTTGCTAGTTCACGGGAGAATTTTGGCAAGAGTTTCACTAAGAAAAGTTGACAACAATGGTTACAAAGAGATTGGCAAGAATGACTACATCAGAGCTAGCATGCAAGTTGGTCGACTGCCAGCGCAGCACGGTCGACCGCGTTCCAGCATGGCTTGGTCGACCGCGTTCCAGCAGTGCACAGTCGCGGCCCGCCAATGCTACAAGTCGACGGCGTGTCAACGTTGCAAGTCGACGGCGTGCCAACGTTGCTCCCGCAGGACAGCAGCGCACCTGCTTTGCAGGTGCTAGCAGATGATTGGCATGCAGTGCCTTGTCACCTGCACAGTGCACACACGCGATCGACCTTATGCTGGCGACTGCACCTGACCAGCCACGTCGACCTCTGGATACCACCACCGAGGTCGGTCTCATTTAAAACCACCAGGGTGACCGTCGCGTGCCTCCGCAGAAACCCGTCACCCCGGTAACCTGGTCGACCGGGCAAACCCCACGTCGACCAGCTCCTCTTTGTGCTCGTCGACCACCCAGGTCGACAACCACCACCGGTCGACCACCTCTAGGTTGACCACGCACTTGGTCGACCAGCCCCAGGTCGACCAACACAGCCGTCAGCCGACCACCCAAGTCGGCTTCCCCAAGTCGGCGTCATCAGGTCGACACCCCCGAGGTCGACCTCGCCAAGTCGACCACTCGAACTCGGCGCCCTCCAGCTCCCCTGTCCAGGTCGACGTCGGCGCCCCCTTCGTCGACCACCCGGTCGGGTCGACCGCCTGCTCCCCGTCGTTGGCGGCGTGAGCAGTGGCCGTGTGCAGGTCGGCCAACCCATCGACCTGCACGCCGAACTCGGCGTCGTCCACTGCAGTTGCTCGACTGCACTTCACGTGCACCCGACTATGTAGTCGGCTCCGTTCAAGTGAGGACGGGGCCAACAACAACTCCCGTTGACACTCCCCTGCCGCATTCACGCTTGGGCCCCAAGCCCACACGGCAGAAATAGCCCGTCGGTGTGCACACAACACACAGCACGCCGGTCACCGCGCCAGCCATGCAAGAGGGCATGGCACCTACTGCTGCACGTCGTTGTCGCCGTCACCCACGTTGGCCAAGCGCACTTGGCCGATTGCGACGGAGCACCGGTTGAAGGCCGGATAGTGCAGTGCCTTCGTCAGGATGTCGGCCTGCTGCTCAGTGGTCGGGATGTACTTCACCGTGAACTTCCCGCGCTTCACCATGTGCTGCAGCTAGGCTTGTCGCCGCTCCATGTGCTTGAGGCTGCCCGTCAACCCCATGCCCTCGGCGACCATGATGGCCGATTTGTTGTCCACCCGAAGGATGGTCGGCGTCTCAGCGTCCAGCTGTCGGAACTATGCAAGAAGGAAGCGAAGGCGGCGTCCCTCCTTGCTGGCTTCTGTGGCCGCCAGATACTCCGACTCGGTCGACGACCGCGTCGCGCACTTGATGCGCTGACTCGACCAGGAGACCGCGGCCCCTCCGTAGACGAACACGTAGCCACCCGTGCTCCTCCGGTTCTGCTTTTCGCCAGCGTCGTCGGCGTCCACGTAGCCGACCAGCTTCAGCGACTCAGCTCCACCGCCGAACTCCATGGCGGTGTCGCGCGTGTTGGTGAGGTAGGCGAGGCAGCGGTCGACCTTGCGCCAATGCTGGTCGCTCCTCACCGTGAGGCCGCTCCTTATCTTTCTGCAGGCGAAGGCGATGTCCGGCCTCATCGTCGTCGCCGCGAACTGTAGCGAGCCGACCTTCTGCCGGTACTCCTCCTCCTCCTGGCACTCCTGTGCCTCCTCCTCGTCGAACGTGAGCTAGGCGTAGTTGTCGACGGAGACCGGCGTCTTTGGGGTACGCCCGGTCTGCTCCTCGTCAAAGAACCGCCTACGCAGCTTATCAGCGTAGCCCTGTTGGTGCAGCCACAAATATAGGCGATATAGGAAGATGCAAGAGTACAAGATAAAGCATCTCTACGCAACCAAGTGAGGGCCTGTAGACACAAGGCCAAGCTGGGTGCAGAAACGCTTGTGGTCACAAGGCGGCAACTCCTTGGTGAATACATCTGCAGTGTTGGCCTCGGAGACCACACGTCGCACAAGTGCCTGGCCACGCTGCTGCAACTCTCGTAGAAGGAAGTAACGAAGCTGAATGTGCTTCGCCTTCCCAACCAGTCGGGGCTCCTCGCACAACAGGATAGTAGACTTGTTGTCGGCGAACAAGACTGGGGGAGAGCGAGGCCCCTCACCAAGGTTGGTGAGGACGAAAGACAGCTAGCGAAGCTTCTGGGCAGCATGGCCGCAGCGTACACCTCGCCTCACAGCTGGAACTAGAGACGGACGACGCTCGAGTCGACCTCCACGAAACAGCTCCGGTCCCAAGGTTGAAGCAGTAACCCTATGTAGACCGCAGCGACTCAGCGTCGTCAGCCCAAGGCGAGTCCGAGAAACCTGTAAGTGTAACTGGCTGCTTTCCTCCAAGGACAAGTCCCATAGCAGATGTACTCGTCACATACTTCGCCACCCTCTTAGCAGCGTACTAGTGGGAAGGTCGGTGTCTCCCAGGCGCAACAAAGCACGCAAGGACGCTAAGAGGGTAAGCTAGGTCTGGGCGAGTACAGGTCATCAGGATATGTACCGTTGGGCTCAAATGGCTCGTCCGAAGGTGGAGCCATGAGCCCATGATCCACAGCAAGAGGGGTGGGCTGTACCTTGGAGAATGAAAAGCGAAACCGCGTGAGGATCTGCTCAACCATATGCGACTCCGCCAGCGTAATGGTG